CGGGGAGGAGCCCGGCGGGGACCCGGGGCGGCCCCAGCGCCTCTCGCGGTTCCGGCCCTGAGGCCGTTGTGTGGTCTCTCCGCACAGCCCTGCTTCCTCAAGGACTGGGAGCTCCACGTCCACTTCAAGATCCATGGAGCTGGCAAGAAGAACCTGCATGGGGATGGCCTGGCGCTGTGGTACACACAGGAGCGCCTGGTGCCAGGTATGGTGCACAGCTGGGGCTATCCGCCAGGATGAGGCCAGGATAGGATTCACATGTACCCTGTCCCAGAGGGTTTCCCACTAGGGAGACTTTGTCTGGTCTCACGACATCGATGGCATGTCCTGCGTCTTCTGCCCTCAGCCTGACAATAAACAGCTCTTACAGCAATTTTTAGTAGGAGTCTCTGAACACAAACTCTGTCTGAGAGCCTTCTGTTTCCAATGTTCTGCCCTGCTCCAGGTCCTGTCTTTGGCAGCAAGGACAACTTTCATGGACTGGCTATTTTCCTTGATACCTATCCCAACGATGAAGCCACAGAGGTGAGTCGATCAGTGCTGTGGAGGCCGTTTTCTCATCAGCTTCATGCTCCAAGTTCCTCACACCTGGACCAAGGAAGAGTCCTTATGTGAGAGTGGGCTGCTCTTCTTACCATGGGAGCTGGAAAGGGGAAAAGTTTATAAATGGAGATAAGAAGGTCCTTGCTCCATCTTCTGCTGTTGTTGACTACACAGATGTTTCCAAAGCCTTTCCTCCTCCTCATGAGAGCATGGCACAAGGGCTGGTGTAAACTATGCGCCAGCTACTAAGTAAAATTGGAGGAATCAGCCTAAGAGTATATAAGTCCTGACTAATTTCCTGAACTTCTCTGTGCTTTGGTTGCTTGTTCCATGTTGTTTCTGGTTTTATTCTCTGTTTGCAACCTGGGCGTTTAAAGGAAACTCCTGGCCTGGCTTTTTGCTCCAGTTTTCTCCATGGCCCAAATACAGATCAGTCCCATGTGGCTGGTGGTCCTTTTCTTCTGCCCTGCTCTCTGTTTGTGGATCTCATTACAGCACAGTCAGAAAAACGTAACTGTGCTAGTGAGATCTGTTGCACCAAAACCGTAGTATTTAAGGCATGAAGCACCTGGAAATGACCAATGTTCCTGTTGTCTTGATGCTCACTGGAAGGTGAATTCTTGCCTCCAGTTGGCCTCTCTTGGTGTGCCTAATCTGCTGGCTACAAAGCCCTGAGTGTGGTTATGCTGCTATTGTGAGATTTCTGCCCATTCTGGGCCCTGTGCTCTGTTCTTGTACTTCTTACCCTGGTTGGTGTTTGCTCTTCAGGTTTGGGGTGAACTCATTGCCCTGGACATGTGGCACGGTGTGGGCTTCTGCAGGGTCTTGGTTCAGAAGGTCAGAAGTGGCTGCTCTGCTCTAGCCAGAACATGCTCTCACTCAGTTTAGAAGCAGCTTTATGTAGAAAAGGAGCCTTGATTTCACTGTTCTGCCCTTTGTACCTGACTGTGCAGTGAAGCCAGGACTCTGCTGCCATGCCTTGCCGAGATCCCGCTCTCAGTGAGGTTTCTGACCAGGCAGGGGAAAGTGGCTCTAGGTCTGCAGCCCCAAGGCTCCTGCAGGCTGAGGGCAGCAGTGCTCTCCTCTGTGCAGCGCGTGTTCCCCTACATCTCTGCCATGGTGAACAATGGCTCCCTGACATATGACCACAGCAAGGACGGGCGCTGGACGGAGCTGGCAGGGGGCACTGCCGACCTGCGGAACCAGAACCATGACACCTTCCTGGCCATCCGGTACTCCCGCGGCCGCCTGACGGTGAGATGTGGTGGACTTCTCCTGCAGGGTGTCTCACACGTGGTAGATGGGGCAATGCTGAGGGGCAGGTGTTGCTGTGTCGGTAGGTGACCTGGAGATGCTTTTCCAGGCTCGACCACCTGCATATTGAGCTCCATAAGAGCTGCAGGTGTGCTGGATGATGGCACGCACTCCTGGTGTGACGCTTCCCTGGTCTTGCAGGTGATGACTGATGTGGAAGACAAGAATGAATGGAAGAACTGCATTGACATTGCGGGGGTGCAGCTGCCAACTGGCTACTTCTTTGGTGCTTCTGCTGGCACTGGAGATTTGTCTGGTGAGATGGGGCTTTGCTCACAGGAACACATGTTGTTTAGAGCCTGGATAGTAACACTGTGGATGTGTTGCATGGCTTTGATGGCTTTCATTCCCCGAACTATTCACGGGGCTCTTGAAGCCCTCATGGGTAGGGACCCGTGGCCTGGGAAAGGAGGCATTTTGAGCCAAGTAATGTCTCAAATTGCAGTTTGACACCTGAGGTGTAAGGGTGGATTGAGAAGGAAGGATGCCTGGACGTGGTGGAGCATGGTGCTGAGTGCATGGACATCTCTTAGAGCTCCTGACAGTGTTTGGTGGTGATGGTTGTTTTCTAGACAATCATGACATTATCTCGATGAAGCTATTCCAGCTCATGGTGGAGCACCCCATAGAAGATGAGACCGTTGACTGGACCAAGATAGAGCCTAGCGTCAGCCTCCTTAAATCACCCAAAGGTGAGTCTCTGGGCTTCAGAAACCATCACTGGAGCATGTTGGGGCTGGACTCTTGAAGGCATCCAGGCTCTGACAGTGTGCAAGACTCTACAGGAGCCGAGGTTGGGTTGGTCTCTGTAGCTGTTCTTGCTCTTGCAGACAATGTAGATGACCCAACGGGGAATTTCCGAAGTGGGCCTCTGACAGGCTGGAAGGTGTTTCTGCTCCTACTCTGCGCGCTGCTGGGCATCATTATCTGTGCTGTGGTGGGAGCTGTGGTCTTCCAGAAACGCCAGGAACGGAACAAGCGTTTCTACTAGCAGAAGACCTGGGCTGTGACCTGTGCCCAAACCCATCTTTTCTACGGGGAGGTGTAAATCTGTGGTTTCTAGAAGCTGTTTCTGAGAAATATCAGAAGTATTTTTTATCTGTCTGTTGGCTGTAACCCCTGCCTGGCACTTGGCGGCTGGCGGGTTGGACTAAGGGGGGACAATGCCCGCTGGGACCCTGGGGCTGTTCTGTGGGAGCCTGGATGTTGCTCCCCTGTTTTTCCAGTGCTCCCACTGCCCGATG